TGAATCTTTCACGAAAGATACACGGGAGTATAAAATTGATGATATATCGAGAAGCATTCTTGATTCTTCTACACACGATGATTCGGTGATATCGTCGTCTCAGTTCTCAAAGGAATCTATCAGCTGTGAAAACAATAATTATGACTTCGAACGACAAAATGAATACGAAGACGCATATGCACGGCCTGTCTCGGAATTTCATCAGAGCCAACCTCTTGATGGTACTCAATTGAAGGTAACATCGGCCCAAAGTCCATTTCCAGATAGTCAAATTGGTTCGTCACCTTCAAGCAACGAGACACTGTGTACTGAGTTGCAGCTTCCTATTTCGCAAAGTCATACCGTTACTCCCACTATGTCAAACAATGAAGAAGTCGAGTGTACAGGACCAGGTACAGTTTGAATTTTTCTCTACGAACAAATCATGACAATGCCTGAGTAAAAGTTGTGCTTTTCGATAAATCAAGGCGTAGGTTAACATTTTTTAGTGCTTCACAATTCCCTCAAATAGGAAACTTTGTCCTACATAGGATCTATACCATAGTGTACGGCCATAATATCATTGCTTCGTTCATAGGTACTCAAAAAAAGGTGAGCTAATAATTCAAAAGTCATCATATACTGTTTTTCTACTCTTAGACAGGAGAGAAAGACGAGACTGTGAGGGAGAGAAAGAGGAGGAAGTGACGTGTGACTGTGGGAAAGAGTCTTCTACCAATTCTTACGAAAGCCTCCTTCACATTCACATTCTAGTATGAAACTCGACTAGTTTATTTCATTTAGCGTGAGCAGTTAGGTTTAATCGATTCCCATCTTGATATAATAAAATATTTTGATTTTTTTCTTTCATGTAATGACACGTACTCATATCCTGAATAGATCATATTTCAAAAAGCTGAGCGATTCGGAACAGCCTAACCTATGAAAGATACTTCCAACATCGCTTTATTCGAGTATACGGGGATTTTGTATATATGACGTGGCGGATGTTAGTGCCTTAAGTAAATAGAAGAGTTAATAAGAGAGCAAGGTCAGCCTCTGCGAAAGTATTTCAGTGGGTGTGGGTGAAATAAAGTCCTACACCCAATAACCTATCCCACATATGAAACCAGTATCGGTAGCTAGTTGATCCAGTCCAGCCCAACCAGATATACCAGCCTATTACTAGTTTACCAGTCTAAACCGATAACTGTTTTTTACTGGCATTCACCATAGAAAAGACTTTGCTCTTAAAATTTCTTAATATCGTTTTTTCTTATTAAAGAAAGGGTATTGTGAGAAGATATTAGTTTTTTATTAAGTTTGACGAAAGATAATGGGTATCGGGCAATCCAAATCCTCAATCTGTTTCTAAGATTTGTGTACTCGGTTTTTCAACCAATTATTCTACGATAGCTTTTTCGAAGGAGAAAAAAATCAGTATAAAATTTTAAGCAACTGATTGCGGATTTGGATTCTCCAACCTCGATTACCTTTGGTCAAACTTTACAGAAAAACAATATTTTTCCCGCAAAGTCCACTCTTTAGTAAGAAAAAACGAAATTAAGAAATTTTAAGAGTAAATTCTCTCCTATGGTGAATGCCGGTAAAAAAACTGGTTATCGGTTTAGATCGATAGACTGGTACCGGTACTGATCGTCAAAAAATCAGACCGGTTCCATCTATGACTCATCAAACTATTAAGAACTGCCTAATTACCCACAGTCACTCACCCATCCACTCACACCCAGACCTGCTAAGCCTCTTTATAAGAAAAATCATGACAAGAGCAATAAAGACGGTACACGGACAGACTAACTACTTAGAGTTATGTTCTTTGTTCTCGTGTGGTAGAAGTTTAGTAATCATTGATTTTAGTCAGAAATAAGTATACTTATCATTGATCATAGGATTATGGCCACAGGTATCATGGATAGACAGAACAAATAGTCTTCTTCAACGATCAGCATTCACTTATCTTCACTTGAATGGTGTCAAGACAAAGTACTACGAATCCATTGAAAGGTATCTGGAGGAGATTGACACTTATCAAGCATTACATTATTTTATTATTCTCTGCGATACAACAAATCTTGGATCTTCAATAGAAATGCTCAGCCGCTGTCCTAGTGTACGACGTATTTATTTGCCTTGTTCTCAAGCTAGCGTGAGTCATCATAATACACTGATTGCATCATTGTCTTCATTAGTGTTTATACTTGAGCGTGAAAACACTCTTATTCATGTAATTATTTTGGATTTGGCACAATATGTGGAAATACTGGCTAAGTATTACGAACGCACGAATGAAAAAACCTTAGCATTAATAAGATATAAATATGCTTTTCAGCTTCGTAAAGCTGTGAAGAAATTTTTAGATGATCATATAGAAGCATTGACTCAACAGCGACTGGAGTGAACTGCACTGTAACGATATTTAACCTTTTTTTTTAAATAATTATTCTGTTTTTTATTGATCATTCTTGAGTGGCTACAATTGTATTTGTTTCTAGGAAACAAGTTTGGAGAAGTAAACTATTGTGTATTGTATTTCAGATAGTTTCTCTCGTCAAGTGTGCGTTGTACATAAAGACAAAGAGACCACATTATCCACGTGTAATAAATTAAATAGAGCCGTCAAGAAGCAAAATTCAAATTTAAAAATCAAGATTCGTATACGGTAACGGAGTCAAATATCATTACTTAATAAAAGAGTAGTTTAAATAGTTTGAGTATAAAAATAATGAGATCGATGGAATCTCCTGTCATTTAGATCTGAATATTTATGAAATAAAAAGTTTTGTAATAGAGATATGCAATAAACAATCATTAATCAGTACATTTTATCATTCGATTGATTATTTTTTTAACAGAATTAATTATTTTAGAGCATTTTGGTTTTCAATATAAATTACATTTAAAGATTTGTGGTCTCAAATTAAGAAATAAATCTGAAATGAATTCAATATATATGTGTCCAGCATGCAATTTCATACTAAAGCAGCCTGTTCGACTTAAATGTGGTCATTGTCAATGTTACGTGTGTATTACATATGGAGAAAACAAGTATGATTTCATCCGAAAGTATATCTTTTTAAAGATCGGTCGTTTTATTTGATATAGGGCAGCAATATGTGTCATTTGTTATGAGGAAACACCTGATAAAGAAGTAAGAAGAATTCACTGTATACATGTTTGACAATGTATATCTTTTAGATCAAAATTGATGAATTTCTTATTCAAGCAATAAATGAGTCATCAATGATTTGTCTGTTCTGCACTTGGTCAGGCTCGTACAGAGATTATAAAGTAGGGGATTATCTTCAAGTTCATCAACCACTGTTGAGTATTCAGGGTTATGCAATTTCTTAGTAGACTGATAGTTAGAACACTATCGATGTAATTGAACCTGTCAGATTCAAATTGAAAACACCTTAGAAGAGTACGATTCATGGATATAATACTAATATAATCAGAAAAGTGTTGATTCAAATTATACAAATTGAATTGAAAAATAATATAAATTCCAATGCCAAAACACATTTATTAGATATCAGAATGCTGCAATATTGAACTTGATTTGTATTATGTGTTTAGGAACACTTAGAAATCGCTCATCCAATGATAAAATGCAACGAATGTTCTGCAACCTTTTCAACAGAGAAACAAGTAATACAACATCAACAACTAGAATGTCCAGTAATGCTTGTCAAGTGTCCATTATATAGTTATGGATGTAAACAATCGGTATGCTGACTAAACTCAAAATACTTGATTTTTTTTTGACAGTTTTCTTCAGTTTTCTCCAGGCAACACAAGAGCCCATACAATCAGTGACGTTCATATTAGTAGTTTGGGATATGCATGGAATTTCACCAGGCGTGATATAGAAACTGCTCGAGAATATAGGAAAAACAATTACGATGACATTGAAACATCAACTTCTTCAAAAAACAATGAAGAATGCGAGAAAATTTATGTAAACATTCAAAAATTGACCAAAATCATGAGTGAACTGACTTCATCAAACTCAGCGAATCATTCGTCTCATGATACTGGCCTATATAAACCAATTGATAATGGTAAAGTCCTTGTACAGAAGGCATATTTTTGTCATATTTAGAATGTCTTCTTTGAATCCAAAAAAGTAGAAAATCGTTTTACTTACAATCAAATCAAATTAAAGGAAATGTTCTATATTAGAATGTTTTACACTTGTTCTTGAGTATCTAAATCTTTGTTTGTTTACTGTTGTTAGTTTTGAAAGTTTATTAAAAGTTTCAATGCTTCTCTAATTTATTTTTCATACATATGTAGATATTTAGTTATTCTAATCGTTTGATTATTCAAGCAATTTTGTATAGTAGCATGACACGAATAGAAACAGCTGAATTTTCTTGTTTAAAAGTTTCATTAGGAATCGAGAGACAGTTTTTTTTCTCTATAGAACATAGAAGGAAGTTTCATGTTATCAAATCTAGTCATTCGATTATATTTAACCTTTAAATTCATTTTATTTTTGTCCTTTATGAGAATATTAAAAATATTCACATCGAAAATTCCTTATTGTTATGCATATATGATTGATTTAATTACGATAGAAGTTGTTGCAATGCAGATTAACTTTTGATTTTATTAGTGAATTTATTTGTTGCTGATAAGTGATCACGACAGAGACGAATAATTCATTTAACTGTTTTGAAATCAGTTAATTAATAGAGTCAAATAAATAAAATCGTACTAAGAGAAAGTCGAGCTAAACTCTTACGAGAAATATTAAAATACTAAACTTTAAATTTTTTCTTTAGTTAAAAGCATTTCATTGATCAAGATTAAATGAAAACATTAGATACTTGTTTGAGAAATCTTGATTGTGTGTTACATATTTTCTTTTTCTTTGTATAGCTATTTGTACTGATGGTTATTTTATGCAACATGAAAATCCTACTAGGAATTTACATCAGATTAATATCGACGATCTACCATCACTCCAGCAACAATCTACTCATAATGACCTTAAGATGGATGAACTGAACGAACACATTTTGCAACTTTCTGCATATCAAACAACTGATGATTTAAGTGGCGATGTACAACGCCAAGACACACCATTGACCAACGAAAGAGGTCCACCATTTGTTGATGTAAGTATTATATAGTATTGACAAACAGAAACTAATATCTTCTTTTCGACTACAAATCTAAGAATCCTAATAAATGTTTTTTTTTTCTAATAAAGAGTCAAATAGGTATAACACAAGAACAATATCAAATAATGAAACAAGAAAACGATTATTTAAGATTAAACAATAATCTACTTCAGACTCAGTTGATGGAACAGCCAGCTACGACTGATGGTCTTTTGATATGGCTGATTCCAGACAGTCGCAAAAGAATCAACAATGCACTATGTTTAAAAGAGCGCTATCTTAAATCACCGATGATTTTCACAGCAATGAATGGACATCGAATGCAGGCTTATCTTGATCTCAATGGCACAACTAGCAATGAATACAGTTCAAGTCTCTATATTTCCATTTATGTTCGACTACTCACTCCAATTTATCAAAATCTAAAGGGTACCGTTACGTTTTGTGTGGTTGATCAAAGCAACAACGATCCTCAAGAAAATATTGAACGAACATGCCCAGTAGACACAATGATGGCAAATGAAATGATTGGTTTCGATTATTTCATGCTTAAAAATCGTCTCTATCAAGATCCAAGTCGATATATTCGTCACGACAACATTTGGATCATCGTGAAATTTAATCAAACAAATGCAGAACGTTTTGCCAATCTTCCATCGTGCGTACAAAACGCACTAGAAAACATTGGATAATCGTTAAATTGTACTAGTAATGTTTATCTACGTAAATTTCGATTTATTCTTACTCTCGATTTATAGTTAGTCTCTTTTCAGACCATGAAATCATTTCCAGAAAAAAAAAGTAGATCACTTTATAACAAATTATGTGCCTATATAAAGTACGAAGGAAAAAGAAATAGGTGCATTGAAATTTTGAATCGTAAATAAGTTACACTCCATTAAGTCTAATTACAATGACAGATGTTTTTATTCTATTAGATAAAGAGTTACTTTTATTGATTAGATCTAACTGATTCTTTTACAAGCTATCCTAAATTAGTTAACAAGGCAATCGTTTTGATATCCTTATTGAAACATGCATAAGAATAAATTAAATGGCGTGGATTTTCCAGGAAAAACTTTTTAGTATAATGTGAAATACGATGGATGCACTTCCATCGTAAAAAAGAGTCCTAGCCACATGATTTATTGTGAAATTTTGAAACCTCATCAATTCTATCTGTCACGGAATGTGACGCTAAACTGTCTGTCTGATGCGAGTCAGTGGGACAGGCCTGAGGGAGGATGGGGGAAGGAAAGGGGAATGTATTTTTCTCTCTAGATACTTCAAGACTCGTTACAAATCGTTTTTCAGAAACAAACTTTTCTCTATTAGTACTTTGTGAATCACGATTGTCAATGAGAGTGTTGAAAGTCTATTATGAGACAAGTGAACTACGTAGTATTCAAATCAATACTTACTAGCTGCGGCAGATATATTGTCCAGATAGTTGAAATGCAAACTTACAGATAATTTTTGTGTTATTTTTGCAGTGCTAGTTCATATTTAGTCTTTTCGACGGTATGAAATTATTCAATAAATATAAAATTTTTCAGATTTCTCCGCTTTAGAATTGTCTCTGGATTTTTTTCAATTTTTCAAAAACCTTTTTTTCGAACTTTGGCGTTTTAGGTTTATAGATTATTCATAGATTCTTGCATCTTAAATGTTTCTTAAAGTTTTGAAATGAGTATATCTAAAACAAAAGTTTCAATTTTCTTGTTAGCAAACCGTGCCTATATCAGAAACTTTAAATCAGTAGAAAATATTTTAAAAGTATTAGTAAGACGAAATGCTTTCAAAATATGATTATGTTGTGCTTATCTGTAAATAAAACAGCTGGGTGATTCTTTCGAGAACGTACCAGGCTATACATCGACCTTATCCGAATGAGATAAAACTTTCTGAACTAGTAGAACTTGATATCCTGATCTCAGAAATAACCTTCAAAAAGTTTGAAAATGATGGGTTGTGGTTTTCGACCACCAACTCCAGAAGCATTGACAGTCAAAAGTCGATTTCAAGGATTTTTCTATTTTATATGATAGAAAGCTAGAACTTTCAGAGTAGATACTAGCCATTGAGAGGATCATTTCATTAAGCGGAAACTTTTTTCTCCGATGTTGTCTTTGTAGTGAAAAGTCTCCTAGAAAAGTCAAATTTGTCGTGATTTTGGAGCCTTCATTTCTCAGACAAGACACAAGATTTAATTATTACTTTTATATGTGTTAGAATCATCTTTGAATGTACTATCCACTTATGCTATTTGAAAAAGTTGAAAGTCAAAGCCGCCCACCAGGCAGTAGGGTTTTGGGGGCGGATTTTCAATTTTTTCTAAATTTGTGGACGGTTTCCTGAGAAAATTAAGGATTCCAGTGAGCAGAAAAGCATGTATTTATGATCTATTCGAACGGAATTAACAAAGAAATGGTATTTCAACTTTGCCCCAGCACTTTTAGGATCGGCCAATTTTCCATGGAATTTCTGCTGGAATTTTCAGAATTTTCAAACTCACTGAGCAACGAAGCAAATACGTCTTTGTTATAGCTTATATTTAGGAAAACTCAAATATAAGGTTTTTCCCTGATTGGAATCCTTAATTTGCTCAGGACACCGTCCACAAATATAGAAAAAATTGAAAATCCGCCCCCAAAACCCTACTGCCTA